CTTTACATTTGGAATGTGTTTGGACTATTATATACCAGTTGAAAATGTTAAGTTTTATAGGTCAAGTTTGTGTTTTCTGTGAAATTTTCTATCCTTCATATCCTGGGAGCTGCTACCTTTTTTTCAAACCTTCTGTTTTACATGGGAACACATTATTTAAAAATGTGAATTACGCAGTGAGTTACTAGTGGAGCTGATCCCAGAAGCTGATCTTATTTATTATTTCTGAAGAGCTGTAATTTTGACCTGTCTTCAGTCCAAAGATTCTTTCCGTAATTAAAAAGTCTTAGAGATCTCCAAGACTAACAATGTCTTTGGATAAAAACAAGGTCTTTTTTTCATGCATATAGAGCTTTATAAATAAATGATGAGGTTGGAAAGGACTAAGAGCCAAGCTGTGGAAGCAAAAAAGACTTTCCTAGACTCCAAGAGTTTCAAGGATTGTTTCCCCATATGGATTTATTGGGATTTCCAGAGAAAAATAGATCATGTGATCATGTCCTAACAGTAGACCTTGTCAGCTAAGAAATAATTATTTAAATGTGTATAATTGGGATTCTGTCTGCACCCATATTTTTCGCCTGAGAGATGAGGAGTGGCCAGAGAAACCATTAGTGATTGCTGAGAAGCCAATACTACAAATCCTGAACAAAACTGCACACAATGTCCTATAAAAACCTCATTATTTACCCATGCTTTCTCTGAATCAGCATCCTGGACACTGCCATAGATATCCTGCAAATTAAACCCTTATAAATTACCCATTTATAACATTTGTCAATAGAAGCTACAGAAGCAGATAATGTTTTTTTCCTTCTTGCCTTAGCTTGGTAGCAGCTTGCTGTAAATTTTTATTTTATTTATTTACTTTTTTTGTTTGTTTGCAGTACTGGGGATTGAATCCAGGGCCTTTGTACTGAGATACATCTCAGGTTTTTTGTTGTTCTGTTGTTTTTGTCTTTAACTTTGACACAGGGTCTGAGTAAGTTGCTGAGTTGTCCAGGATAGGCATGAACTAGTGATCTTCCTGCCTCAGCCTCCAAGATTGCTGGGGTTATGACCATGTGCTGCTATGCTTGGGTGCTTTCAGGTTTTGTTTTGAGTTTTCTGAGCATCCCTGAAGATCTCAGACCAGCCTGATAGCTGGGAGTATGTTCCAATTAATTCAGGCTGCTTCTTTTACTCATTTATGGGGCAACTGGAAACCAACCATGAGTCAGAAATTGTGCTAGGCACTTGGGAACAGATAGCTGAAAGAGATAATCTCTCTTAGTGGTCATGGATTTATTCATTTTCTATTCCTTTTAATAAAATCCCCAAATCTGGGCACTTTATAAAAAGAGATTTACTTAGATCTTAGGTAAAGAGGCCGAAAGTCTGAGATTGGGTGGCTGTACTGGTTCAGCCTCTGGTGAGGATCCCTTGGCTCTGTCTCAGTGTAGAGGGAGGCATCGTGCTGAGAGTGTGTGTGGGTGATATCACATTATGAAACAGGAAGACAGAGGCAGGGGTCAGTGTTGCAGTGCCATTTTGTAACAGCCCATTCTTGTAGGAACTAAGTCAGGTCCTTTGACAACTACATTAATCCCTCCTAACAGCAGTGCTCACAGTCACCTAATTACTTTGTACTAAGTACAACATGTGAACACTTCAGGGAAAGACCAAGTCAAAGTCATGGCAGATACCCATAGGAGGCTAAGGCAATTAGTGAAAATATTATGGTGTGATAGCAACTATCATGAAGACATAGAGAGGGTTTGGTGAGAATGGGAGAGGCCCCTAACAGCTTGACTATCACATAAGTAAAGGAGAGGCCAGGAAACACTCCCCAAAAATGACTCTGAGAACCTTTACCATACACAACTAAGAACACTGATACACAACTTATAAAATGGTGCGGCCATATTGGAAAAACCTATCAGTTCTTCAAACAGTTAATCATCGCATTAACATACGACCTAGTGACTCCATCCCTTGACATATGTTCAAGAGAAAGAAAAACATGGATCCACACAGAAACTTACTCATTTATGTTCACAGCAGCACTATTCAGAGTAGCCTCGCAGCAGAAACTAAGCAAATTTCCATATAATAATGAGTAAATAAATAAAATATGGTGCCTATATAATGGAATATTATTTGACCTTAACAAACGGAGAATGGATACATGCTACTATGTGGGTAAGTCTTGAAGCCATTAGACTGTGCGAAAGATGCCAAAAGCGAAGTTGACATAGGAGTCCACTTATGTGTAATGTCCAGAATAGCTAAATGTACAGATAAAGAAAACTAAATTATTGTTTCCCTAGGGATAGGGAAACATTGAAGCTAAGGTTATATTCTAAATTGATTGTGGTGATGGAGTCATAACTCTATGACTATACTAAAAAGCATTAAATTTCACAGTTAAATAAATAAACTCTAAACTCTATGGTTTGTGTACTAAATATCAATAAGATTATTTTCTTTCTTTTCTTTTTTTTTTTTTTTTTTTTGGTACCGGGGATTGAACTCGGGTCCTTGTGCTAGCAAGGTAGGACACCGAACTGCTGAGCTAAATCCCCGGCCCAATAAGATTATTTTCTAAAGTGATACCTGATGACAAAATGAAAGAGGAGTCACAGAATGAGTATGTGTACTGGTCAGCAAGTCCTTTTATAGTTACTTCTAAAATGTGTCCCATATCTGTCCTATCATCTTCATCCTAGCCACCACCTTCATGCGGGCCTCCATCATCTCCCCTCTAGACCGCTGCAGTGGCCTGCGATGTCTACTCCTGTCCCTATGCTGTGGCTCTGGAGGACACAGCCTGGGAGGTTAGCTGCAGGCCCCCGTGGTCCTTTTATGAATCACCCTCTTTGGGGGCATGCCAGGCCCCTGGATCCCCAGGGGGTGGGCTCCTGGGCTTCTTGTACTGCTGATTGCTCTAAAACTGATGGAGCTTCTCTGACCTTAGAATTTCTGGCAGTTCTTTACTCTCTCATTCGCTGCATTAAGTATCTCTATTCTTTCTGAAGAGACCCAGTCTGATGTTTGTTTTCTTAGTTCATGCTCTCATCTCTATTCTCCATACAGTAACTAGCGTCATATTTCAAAAACATAACTTGTGATGTTTTGCTTTCCTGCTCCAAACTGCAACCCCATGAGCTTTGGCCCAATTTCGCATTCCCTGTGAGCCTCCTTGTGCTCTGAATTCTACTTCCTCTTTCTCTTTGCTCACTCCACACTGAGCACAATGCCCCTGTTCTTGTACCTCCTGTAGGTCCAGAAAACCCCCACTCAAGGGGCTTTGCCCACGCTGATGCTGTTCCTTTGGCCTGGGGCGCCGTACTCAGGCTCCTATAGAATGGATTCTACTGGTCTCAGTTCAGATGTTACTCCTCAGAGAGCCTCTTCTGCACCACTAACCTTTTTCATCACATTCCATCATGACCCAGAGTTTATTCCTTACCTCTCATCACTTGCTGAGGTTATCTTGTTCATATATTTCTCTTTTGTTAGTGAGCTCTCTCCTTACTGGAATATAAGCTCTATGAAAGCGAGAACTTTCATTCCTTGTTGCACATCCAGCCCTTAGGACAATTCCTGGAGCACACTGAGGATTGGCCAACTCTTGTTTGGTGATTGCGCATAGATGATGAGGTATGAGAGATGGCAGAGGACAGGGTGCCTGTCTTGGTCCTGGCTGGAATTCCACAGGGTGGATGTGGTGATGGTTGTGGGGAGGTGAATCTTGAGGTTGCAATGGTGGAGAGGTCACATGGGGTCTTGTTGTTTCCTAGCTGTGCAGTCTTAGAAAAGCCGCTGAATCTTTCCAAGCCTCCGATGTTCCACTACTAAAATGAAATTGCTACAGTTAAACTCATGGGGTTATATGAGTAGATTAAATGTACTCAGAAACAGGAAACCTTATGAAAACTACAAAGTGATCTGTTCCTACATTTAATGTTTTCAGTGTCATCATACTCCTACAGGGGATAGGTCCTGAAAATTCAGAGGTTCAAACAGAATGTTCTCTTTTCCCCTGAGAACTCCTCTGTCTGATAAGGAAGAGAAGGCCACAGAAAATCATAAAAGGGTGTTTTATGTGATGATCACCTTCTCAGTCTCAGCTGCTGACCTCCAGCTGTTTCTTTGCATATGGTACCAGTATGCTTTGAATCTCTGTAGATGCTGAGGCCTCTTCTAGGATCCTATGAATCTTCCTGTCTTCTGCAGGGCCTATGGTGTCTTCTCTAGATCCACATCCTCATGAAGGCCCTCAACTGGAGGTCCCAGAAGTATCTTCACAACAGAAGGATCAAAAGTCCTGGGCCTTCAGCCCTTGTAACTTGAATTTCCTTGTACAACAGGTTGTTTCATTATTCTTTTTACATTATCTTTGCCAGATGCTCTTTCAACCACTGGCCATTTTGATGTAACTTTGCTTTTAACTTGCAGCTTTTGTTCTAGATTCTCCTTGGACTACCCTACTTACTTTTCCTCTTCCAAGCTGTCTTTCCTTTGCTCAATTTTATTCTGGCCCATCCTTAGTTTTGACAAACTACTGTGATCCTTGGTGACTTGGTGCTCTGTGTTAGACCCTTCTGGCTCCTGAAGTTCAGCCCTGTCCACAGAAATCTTCTCTATGTCCCCTAGAACTTTATCCAGCCTTTGTATTTTTTTTTCGTATTGGGGATCGAACTCAGGTCCTTGCTCTTGTGAGGTGGGCAGCAGAACCACTGAGCTAAATCCCTGGCCCTTGTAATTGTTTTAGGCATGATTTATAGTAGCATGTCTGGTCCTAAACTTGCACTGACCTTGAAGCCAGAACTCTTTCTGGGCAAGGGCTTTGTCTTTGCAACCCTTTACCCTTTGTCACTGTCCATGTGCCCGGACAGAGTGGGCAATCATTGCTTGTGGGATCGGCTGCTTGATGGACTGCAGTGAGGCAGATGACTTCACACACACCCTCTGCCCTTCCCTGGATGTAAGTAAAATGTTCAAGTAAACAGGTCCTTCATTCTGTAAAATCAGCTGAGATGATGCAGGTGCCTTTGGGCCAGTAGCCAAAGGAAGAGATGCTGTGCTTTACTATCAGACTTCTAGTTGGAAGATTTCTCTGGGGTGTTGTTTCTCTTTATTGGATAGTAAGGCTCTGAGTAGGGTTGCTTATTCTCCTGCTTCTGATTCACCCCAGGACTGGAATAATAGTTGTGTTTGAAAAGGAGCTCATGACCCTGGAGATGGAAGGAGGATAGGGTGGTGGGTTTTGATTATAATCAAGAAGAAAATTCTAGTGAAATGCTTTCCCCCGCAAAGATTTACAACATGCCCACTCAATAAACCTTTCTTACATGCAGTCTTTTTTTTTTTTTTTTT